CTTCAGTGCTTCAGAAAAGCTTCATTTGCCCATCACTATATTGCACTTTGTTACTGAAAGGCAGAGGTATACAAAGTGCTTGAAAGAAATAATTGCATAAAAGTTAAAATACCTTAACAAAAAATGACTTTGGTTAAAATGAATTTCACCAATAAGAAAAGTAAGTCATAAAACTGCTCACAGTAATCAGAAAAATAAAAACACTGTTTCCCAACCCTGGTCCTCAAGCCACGCTGTCCTACGTTTTAAATGTGTCCCTGCTTCAACACAGCTGATTTCAATTGATTACTGATTAGCAGGCTTTTGCTGAACTGCAGTCATCTCAGTCAGGTTGTAAGAGCAGGGAAACATCTAACATGCAGGGCAGTGTGCCTTGAGGACCAGGGTTGGGAAACACTGCTTAAGAAATGAAGTGTTAAATAAACTGGTTCCATTACACAGAGTTGAGTAAATTGCTTCACATTTACTCAGTGAAACCAGTTAACAGAATTTGGTTCAGTAAATTCAACACTTAATTTTTTAGAGTGCAAAAACCACTGTTTTCATGATGAGTTATGATCATATTTAAATTTTAAAGTAAAGATGTAAAAGTATAATTTTTATGTTTTGAATATAACAAAATAAAAGTGAAAATTACTATAAAAATACTTGGTAAAATTAAAAATTCTCAAAACATTGTTTAAGTACTGTAACAATGTAAATGAACTTAGTCACTAAACATCTCTGCTAGAAGCAGGTGCGGCCGGTCCATAAGGACAGGTGAACAAAATTCATTCACCCTACAAAGTAATTCCTCCTATTATATGCTTTATTGTTTTTGCTGGTGTGGCGTTTTATGTGATGCTGCTGTGTATATGTAATGTTCTCCAGCATCTTCTTGTTAGTTCTATCATTAGCCTGTTGCAAAGCCCAAACTGTAGTCTTCATCTATCCATKGTATCACCATCTTTTAGGTTTTCTTCTTGCTAGTTCTCTCTGTTGCTTCTGCTCTGGCAAATCTTTGTCTGTATTCTTTATCTTCATTTCTAGTCCAATTCAGCCCCACATCAGCAACTTGCACTTCAGAACCTTCCACAGCTGTGCACACTCTTGATATTCTTTAGCTCTCTCAGAACTGTTGGAAAAGCAGTCCAGGTGATTGCAGAACCTCATGAAGCCAGTTTAGAGAATTGAAAGAGTGTTCACATTTGCAAGAAAAGCAAAAGATACCCACCTTGAACATTCCAAAATCCAAAACATCTTCTGGTTTGTTCAAGTTCACTGCATGGGTCCTTATGTGGGGACAACCCCCAGCACCAAACCACAACAAAGGACAAAAGAAAAACATAAACACACTGAAGGAGAAAGTGCGTCCAAACCTTTGACTGATAGTGTGTGCAGCAGCAGCAACATGACTGATTCATTGTGAACAATATTGTTTTTACGTGGCACTTATATCAAGAAGACAAAGGAATACACAGTTCCGTTGCAACTATTACACATAAAAATACCACAAGTCCACCATGGCAGTGCAGACGGAGCGTTCACATAACGCAGCATCAGATTGTGTGACGTTATGGTTGACTGGAAATCACACTACATATGTTCAGTATCAGATATCAGATAGGTAAYGAGGCAATGTGATGGTTTTTTTCTTACAGCCACTTATTTTCATACCTCACAGAAATGCAAGGTGAATATACAAATGTGAAACAGGGTACGCACAGTAAAATAAAATCAAAGTAGGGCTGTATCTAAAAAGGTACATTGAACTCCAACTGTAATTCAGCTGTAATTAAAGGGCGTGGTTGTTTTG